TGGAAATTGAAGTGGTAACTAGAAGAGGCTTGTGGTCTATTCGTAAGAATGCGATGATTTTTGCGCCTCAGTAATCTAACTCCAAGCAAATTTCTATGATTTAACCTATTAGGTGCAAAGCAACATTCTGACAAAATGAATCATTTTCTGTTAAAACTTGTGTTAATTTTTTTATTTCTGTTTTGGCCTGGTCTGCTAGTATAACAGTATTTTTACTTTCCAGTATATACGTATATACGAAGCATGGGAAAGATATGTAATGCTGTGGAAAATGATTTCGAGATTTCAAACGAGAAAAACAAGTTTTGGTGTCCTCTGATACGATAAAGTGTTTTTTTTTTCTTCAGAAGATCCGACTGACGGGCAAACGCACACACGCGAGACGGAGAGACAGAGACGATTTGAAAATAATACAACCACTTTTAGATATTCCCCAAACACTTTTTTAGACGCAAAACGTGTTTAATTTTGAGATCAAATCGATTTCCCAGCATTTCATAACTTTCCTTACTTCGAATATTATTCCGGATATACAGCGAAAAGTAAAAATTAGTAATTTTGTGAGAAAGTTCTAAGCCACAACCGATTATCTAAAAGTTTAACAACATTATTAGTTCATTTATCCATATTTTCAGTACATAGAAATCTTAGGAATTCATTTAGAAATCTTTTTTCACTAAATGAAAAAATGTAATTCTTTAGAATTGTTTGTATTGTAAATATTTATATTCTAGTACTACTTCCGCCTCAGACATGGTATGTTTACGCGTCATGGAGACCATTCTGTCGAGATCATACAAATCTAGAAACGCCATGGAAACTTGTAAGAGAAGCGAGCTCAAAACGGATATTAATGAAGCTCGGGCTCTTAGAATGAAATTTTGAGGATTACAAAACCAGTCCAATACTCTTCATATTTTAATACATAAATTTAGATTATAATATCAAAATATATACTTTAAAAATCTTGTACAGTACTCCAGTCTCACCTTTTTGCGTGATACATTGCAACTCAAAAACAAGCAACCAGCAAACATAACCTTACACAATACAAATACCAATATTTATACAGTAAGCCAAGAAGGATTTGTGAAGTAGCAAGATTTTTTCCGTTTCAACACACAATAGATTTGCAGTAACTGATTTGAAAGTCACTCACGGTAATTTAGCTCCACAGTCATCGATGACCAACTCCCAAGGCGGGCGTCTTCCCCTGCTGCGCATCGGTGGCGGGGCCGGAGAGAGCTGCCTTTCCACCTCACGCGTTTGGGTCCGGGTCGCGTTGCAGCGAAGTGACAGCTTCCTCGCGTGCCCTGCCTCACGCTGCCGCCTGGACTCAGGTCAGCCTCCGCAGCCTCACGCACCCGCCTCCGTTCACTTCAATATCCGTAGCCGAATCCTCCAGTCTTCATGCACGCACGCACCACCCCAACCGACGTTTCTGTCATGTTTATTCTGGACGATGAACGGCGGGGTTCAGATCTGCTCGCCTAGGTGGCGTTGTCCACTTCTACGAAGCGCAATCGCGCGGGCATTTCAATTCGTGGGTGCCTGCCCACTGAGGCGCATCTATGTGTTTGGTCCAATTACCAGTAAACGAGATGATTAATCTCTTTGAAGTATTAACTTCCTCCAATGCCATTTTAATACTGAAATCGTCCGTATGCTGTTTCTAGTTGCGAAACATTCTTATTGCTGCTATGTGTTATATGTCAGCCTTAAAATTACCTGAAGAGAAACCGATAAAAATGTAAGTAGATGAGAAATCTACGTGAACACTAAGTGAATGATAAAGTTATATTTTGCGTTTATCATTTTTGAATCGTTTGTAGTTAAAAGTTCATGCTAAGTCAAGATTTTGCTTTCCGTTTCAAAGTAGTTAAAGTAATAAAAGTAAATTTAAATTTTTGTCCTCAAAACCGGATCCAAACTTTAATTTTATGTTTTTCCCTGGATAGATAAAAGGACGTTTTAAAAACGGTCTAGGTTTCAATTTTGTTGAACCCTCTGTATTTTCGAAAATTACAAGTTATAAATTAAGCAAACAATTTCCTGTTGTAGCACTCCAAATTCTATTCTGTAACTAGGGGACCAAAAAATTAATAAATTGCGATTATATTTTTGTCGCTAAAAGGAAAAATAAGGTAAAAGAGATGGAGGACTCAAAAACTTAAAACTGAGATGAAACTAGTACGAGAAAGTCTCATTCTTTAGAACCAGTAATTTTCTTAATGTTGCATGTTTGAAAATAAGAAGAATTTAATGACGTTCTATATTAATAGAATTTAAAAATAATTATAATACATTAAAATAATATGCAATTAGCAATTAAATATACTAGTGTATAGAATGCTATAATCAAAAACTTCAAACGATGTTTTCTTACCACATAGTTTTGGAGTATATGCCCTTCTTCTAACTATCGCCTCAATTAGAATTATTAAAATATTTTGACAGAAGTATTATTAGAAGATTATTAACATATAGAATTTTTACCAATATTTCAACTGTTTTAATATCCATCTTCATTCACCCTCGCTACACTTAAATTTCAGATTGTTGCTACGCAAAACTTGACAATGGAACACTTTCTTCCGTTTTATAAATTCACTAGTATAAATCTAAAAAATTGACGGGAATTAAAATAACCCTTAGAAGTGAGTCTTCTGCAAACCCACAATTTTTAAATAGTTTCTTTGTCTACAACCTCTACAGTTTTGGCCAACACTATTAATAAACTGGTATTTAAGGATAAATTAAAACTTTTTTGTGTGAATATATTTGTTTAAATTTATCTAAATTGATACACCTGACACAAGCATTAGACGCCTTCTTCAGTAAAATACACTTGGGGTAAATGAACTGGTGAGCGAATGAAACAATTCGTTCGGACTTACTATAGGTGAAAATTCTCTAGTAAAGCTTCACATGGTCCCGTATACCTGGTATTTACGAGTACAAGTAGAGACACTGTGAATATAATATCCATGTCTGCGCCATTTTGTTAAAAGTACAATGGATACAAAATGAATAAACTACGAGAAATAAACGTACATTCTAATACTTTTACATTTTTATTAAAATGTAGTCTTTATACTACGAACTTATAAAAAATAGCACGCTATTACACATCTTAGGTCCACTCTAATATTTCAAAGAAAAATTACAAAATATCGTTTATTAAAAAGCTCGAATTGCTTTCTATATGAATGCCCTTTAACTATTAATGTAGATCCATGTTACGATTCATCATAGCGGGCTAAATTACCACCAAGAAGAGAAAACAATAAGAAAGAAGGAGGAAGAAAGGGAATGAAATTTGTGTCTAAATATAGTGTGTGAAGCTCATTACATATATTGTTTAGTATAACGTGAGGAAGAGAAATACAATTAGCTTTGCTATCATTGACCTGTATTTTTCTAAAACTTCAATAAAAAAGATATGGAAGGCAATTGAAAATTGTACTCCTTTCTGGTACTACACGGAATAAATTTTTAATTATTTCTCAAGAAAACCACAGAAATGAACGCAAAGTTCGATATTACATAAACTCATTATCAGTCAAATATGTTTTTCGAATGTTAGACATACTGTAAAAATATCAAATCTAGTTATATAATGTCACTTTATCTAACAATGCAGTTCCATCAGATATGAACTCGTATTTGTCATAGCATTATCCCTTCATGAGCACCATTCCGATATCATGGAGAGGAGAGGATGCTTAATTACGTAATTAGTTCGTTACGTCTTCGAGCAATACATAATCGGATCGTTTCAATTCAGATGTCTGAGCTCAGGAAACAGAACAAGAAGCCATAGACAGTTACCTTGCAGTTTCACGATTTACGCCGAATTGTAATAGCACGGCGGTGTTCGACTGCCTTCACATTAAGAGCTGAATGCTGCTAGTGCTAAGCGCAGCTGCTCCCACATGCATTACGGGTCGACTCTTCTGCCCCAGGAATACCACTTCACTGACACTATATCTTCTGCGTTTCGTAGGATTATACTTGCCATCTTAGTCAAATGTGTATGGGGCGAAATGCAATCCACTGAAGTCACTAGTGACTGACGAAATCGTGACGATTTTTTTGAGACACTTCATTTCTTGGCTGATATTTACTCTGATGTTACTAAGAATCATCAATTTTAACATTTTATTTGTAGTTTTAATTGATTGATTAATGATTCCATCTGCTGTCATTAGTTCCGTAAGTGTAGTGCATGTTTGCTGACATCGTGTGGTGTGGTGCTGATCTCCCACTGAACGGTCTCATCCGGCTCGTGGAGTTATCCCTAACGGGGGAGATCCCACCAGCGAGGCACAGGCTCAGCTGGGACAAGCGCTAAACTTCCGACGGCTTTTCTGACTTGTGTAGTAGTGTAATGCATGTAAGTATAATTGTAAGAGAGGTTGAAGATAGGACAAGGAAGAGGAAGGAAAGATCTCGCGCGGTCTGTTGCCCGTTCGATAGAATATTGCTTCAGCATTCATCTGCAGTTCGGTGAAACTACGCAAAACTACCGATCAACGCACCAGACGTCTAGAGTTCTTCTCCAGACAGCGTCTGAATTTGACCTACAGCAGCTATCTTCGTAATTTTGAGCAAAAAGAATAATCCCTCTACAGGGAGTAGCTCGGAGTGAGCGTGGGCGCCGTGTGTTACGTGCGAAGGCTGTGGGGGCACGTCGGCGTTCGTGTGGGCACGTGGAAGAAGCAAGAAGACAAGGCGTGCGAACGAGCGATCCCCAAGTGCTGCAGGAAGACGCAAGAAGGAAGAAGAGTCGGAGTGGAATTTGGTCTGGATTCGGTCGCCGCTGCGAGCGAGGAACAGTGTCTGCAGAAGTCGTCGAGGGCAACGCCCTCGAGGGCGAGGTGCGAGGAGCACGGCAACGGCGAGGGTGAGGGGCGAGGGCGAGGGCGAGGGCGAGGGCGAGGGCGAGGGCGAGGGCGAGGGCGAGGGCGAGGGCGGGGGAGAAGACGAGGCGAGGGCGAGGGCGAGGGCGAGGGCGAGGGCGAGGGCGAGGGCGAGGGCGAGGGTGAGGGCGAGGTCCGAGCCGCCGTCGCGAGCTCCGTCGATGCAAACGTTGGAAGAAAGCTATACTGTGGGGATTTGGCAGCGGAGTTGAAGGCGACCGCTAAGAGTTCGTATCTGCGGAGGAGTCTCGCCGGCCTCAAAAGCTGAATAAGTAATTAGATAAGAACTCAAAGTGAGAAGTGATGCCGTTACGTAATTAGATGAGACTAAAATGAACAGATTGCTTAAAAAGAAGCCAGTAGATGCTTTGTAATTACATTTCGTTCAAATTTGATTTTGAGAAAAAATAATTCGATTTGTATAAAGTCGTAAATAGTACAATTTGTGTTGTATTGTTGTTTTGAGGCGTTTATTCATGGATGATGTCGGGTTTTAAGTAACTGAATAATTTCATTGAATTTGTATGTGAAATATATGAAAAAAGGAGGCGACTGAGATTTTTCATACATAACAATTTATTCAATTTATTCCGAAGATGACAAAGCTAGACTTGCCGAAAAAAGCCTGATTCGTCACCGAGTTTAATGACGCCAAAAGAAGTACCTATCAAAGTCTATTCACAATGTATCCGGGAATAATCACAAGTATTTAAGGCTTTATCACGCAACTGTCACTACACACACACACTCTTGCCGCAGCAGCTCTGGCTCAATCACTTCTGTTCTCTCGGGTGCTGAACCGCTCCTTTATATATGCGACCGCCGGGCTGTCGCAGATGCGTTCCAGCAGCTCGCTGCTAGTTGAAGCGGTTAGCTGGCTATTGCCCTCCTCCCTACCGTACGAGAAAATTCTCAAAGATGTAAATTCTATTAAAACCCGTTCTTCGCAGAGAAAGGTTATGAATTATTTCCAAAGAAGAGTAGCTACTTGACATGATTCACATCAAGTCAGGTCAATCAATCTAACGCCCCTCCCATCCAATCTAATGGAGCAACGCAGCTGAAGGCTAAATGCGAGCTTTACATCTATCTCAGAGTAGCAGGATCTTTTGGGGGTGTGAACGGAATCCTAGGTCACGTAAATCAAGAAATCTTATTTTCTTGAACTTAGTGAATACAACACACACACACACACACAATCAAATAATAATGACACAAAAAACAACTGAAATTTGTTAAATTTGTTCCAACCAAAAAGGTTTTGCTGCTTCATAAGGGCTAGTCCAACCCCTGTGAAGAGTCCTATTCCTACCCCAATTCTAATTTCTTCCCAATTCTGACTCCTGGGGAGTGACGCTCGAGCGTGCAGTAGGAGGCGTGTACACGAAGATGCTACCTGGCGGTCCTCTTTACAACTGACTGCGACGAGTCGTGACGAATATGATAATGTAAAATAATTACTGGAGAATTACTTCCGCGCTGTTGTTTGGGACACAGTTTATAACACTGTTCACACAGATTAAAAATGTTATCAATTTTTTTCAAAGCTTTCATTTCACTTTAACGCATTCTTTTTTCTCAAAAAGAGAAAATTAAACATTTCACGGAAAATT